AATGGATGGATGTATGGATTGTGATGAGTTGTATGAGCCCCCAATAAAATGACTTAAAAAAAATAAAAGTTCAATCACATCTAGAAGAGTTGCACAATCACCACAGTCGGTTTTAGGACATTCTCTTCATACTTGTCCTCACTGTTATTAGCTCCCCATTTCCTCCAAGCTCCCTGTGGTAGCCCGAAGCAACCATGGATCCAGTCACTGTCCCTACAGATTTACTTACCCGGGATTTCATCTACAGAAAAACATTACAACACAAAAATGTAAAACAGATAAAAACCTCAACTGAAAAAAAAGCAGAAAATAGTAAGAAGCAGAAGAAATTTAAATTTAAATGGGTCATAAAGGAGATCAAATGATAGGATGCTACATTTTAACTTAACTGCATCTGCAACAATCCACTTTCCAATGTATTCTGCATGTTAACAAGGCTACTCACATCCCTCATCCAAGGTCAAGAGGGGATTCACCAGGAGCTTAATGCATGTGTATTTCCCCTTCATTTGTTTTATTGTTTGTTTTTTTACTTTTTAACTGGAACAACTTTAAAAATAAGTCTAAATGGAGATCAAATGATAAGATATTACATTTTGGCACCAATAAAATTATTTATTAAAATTTAAAAATACATATTACATGTTGACCTAACTACATCTGCCATAATCGACTTTATAATGCTCTCTGTCTGATAAAAGGCTATAAAATCCCTCAACTTTGATGAGAAGGGATTCATCAAGGCTTAATCCATGTATGGACCCTGAAAGTGGGTTTTAGGGTTCCATTACCCTCCATAACCTTCTACAAACCAGGTATTCACAATTTTAGCTCTGATGCCAATCCTTCCTTTAGATATGGATCATATTATTTACAATTCTTGGATCACACGGTCTAGTGTGCTTCTTCCACGTGGACTGAGTTGACATCCAATTTAGATGACAGCTTATTTAAAAACAAGCCTCCTAGACCCCGGTTGCTATTCTTTCTGATAGGCAGGCACCACATAGTTTCTTCACCACACTTTGCTATAGCACCCATATCTTCAGTGGTCTCTTCCTGAGAGTGACATCAAGAAGTGCCATGTCACAAGAACTAATTGTTCTTCGATTAAGACTAGAATTAAGTGCAAGTCCAAAATCCAATCATCCATCTACAGTTTATATATGTCTCTGGTTCACCTTATAGACATCATTGTTGTTTTATGTTAGAAAACATTATTAATCATCCCCCTAGAATATCTCTTTAATGCTGGTTTATATCAACCCTATAGGGCAGGGTACAACTGCCTCTGTAGGTTTTAATTTTTTGTACATAGTTCCCCTGGCTTAAACTATGCAGGGAAAAGTCACCCTCTACTTCCATTCCTAAACCATCTAATGACCTTCTCCAGAAGTAAACAAGATAAGTAATTTCGTAGGTGTCTTTCAGGAAATATGCTAGGCATACACAAGCAAATCACCATAAATGGTATATCATACTATATATCTTGTATTTTTCAACTCATAAAACCTGGATGTTCCCTCACAGCAGTATTTTAAGAGCTTTTGTTTTCCAACTGTTTTTGTGCAGATATAATTTATTTAACCAGTCCTCTAACTGATGGAACGTGAGACCTAGACGTATAGTGGTTACGCACCCAACTGCTAGCTCAAAGATGAGCCATGCGAGCCCCCGGCTGCTCAGTAGGAGAAAGATGTGGCAGTCAGATTCCATTAGGATTCCAGTGTTGGTGTCTCTATGGGGAAGTTGTACTCTGTCCTACAGGGTCACTGAGATTTGGAATCAAATCAACAGCAATGGTTTGTGCTATCTACTGTTGGCTCCAATCTTTTGCTCTTACAACGTCATTATTTAACATTTTATTGAGATATCATTTATAGGCCATCAAATTGACTTAAGTATTTCACTTGTTTTCCATGATTTTAGTAAGGTTATCTAGTTGTACATCACAACCTAATTTTAAGACATTTCACTCACTCTCTTAATATCCTTTGTGTGGTTTGCCATAACTCCCTGCTCTCACTCAAGCCCCAAGCAACTGCTAATCTATTTTCTGTCACTTTAGATTTGCTGTTTCTGGGCACTGCATATAAATGGACTAATATAGTATGTGGTCTTTTGTAGATACTTTTTTTTCTTTCACTTGGCATAATGCTTTCAAAGTTCATCTGTGTTGTAGCATGCAGTAGTATTTTGTTCCTTTTTATTAAATAAAGGTATTCGTTGCATGGCTATACCATGTTTGGCTTATCCATTCACCAGCTGATGGACATTTGAGTGTTTCCACATAGTTATTATGAATAATGCTATAAGTTTTCTTGAGGAGGTCTTTGTCTGGCCCTGTGTTTTCATTTCCCTGAGGGAGAGTAAAGGAGTTTGGGTGGCAGTTAGGATGGGTTAGGATGAAGCTGTGTGCTCCCAGAAAGATGTATAATCTTGAAAATCTATACAGTCACTAGGAGCTGGAATCAACTCAATGGCAGTGGTTTGGGTTCGGTTTGGGTTTGTAATTTTTTTAGGGTAGACACCTGTGTTATACAGGGTTCTCTAGAGAGATAAAACCAAATTCAACACCCAATTGAGAAGAATTGTTCAGACATGTGGTGAATTCATCATTAGCTTTTGAAGAAACTGCATTTAGCATTCTCACTAGCAATTCATGATGATAACTGTTTCTCCACCTCCTCACCAATATTTGTGCTGTTCGTCTTTTGTGTTACAGCCTTTCTAGTGGGTGTGCTTGAGCCCCTGGGGGACGCACATGGTCAACTAGCTGGGCTGCAAAACCAAAGGTTGGAGATTCAAGTCCACTCAGAACACCTTGAAAGAGAGGCCTGGAAATCTACTTCCAACAAACATCGGTTGAAAACCCCACGGAACCCAGTCCATTCTGACACAACGGGGCCCGTGAGTTGAAGCAACGGAACAACAGTTGGTTTTGTTTGGGTTTGACTTTTCTTTGTTCCCCCTCCCTGTGCTTTTCTTTGAAGTAATGAGAAGTTAGCATTTCATTGTAATTTCATTTGAATTTCTAATGTTATTTTTTATGTGATTATTTACCACTCACGTATCATCTTTGGCAAGATATCTATTCAAATCTTTTGCCCATTTTTTAAGATTGGGTTGGCTTCAGTGGCTTCTCTGGTATAGTGCTACCTGTAAGGTCAGTGGGTCAACCCTAGCAGACACTCCACAGGAGAAAGCTGAGACTGTCTGCTCCAGTGCCGATTTACAGCCTTGGAAACTCTCCTCTCGAGGGTTGTTTTGAGTCAGAAACTGATTGATGGCAGTGAGTTTGGTTTGGGGTTTTGGTGGCTTGTCTTTCATTTTATCATGTCTTTTGACCTGCAACACTTTCGAGTTTTGATAAGTTCATTTTTATCTAATCTTATTTTTATTGTATTTTTTATGTCATATCTAAGACGTACTTGCTGAACTCAAGTCACAAAGCTATTCTTTGTCTTCTTCTAAACCTTTTTCTTCCAAAATTTATATAGCTCTCTCTCTAGCAACAAAATGTCATATTGAACATGATTAAAAATATTTGTAATATAAATACAAATAAATGGAATTGCTGACGATATTGTATTTGTAGTTGTCATTTTATTCATGGACAAATTTAATTTCATAGATGTTGCATTGATATATACTCCCACCAATAATAAATGAGTATCTGTTACTCTTTCCAATAATATATTATTAAATGTTTAAAACTTTGCCAATCTAAATAAAAATGTCTTATCTTGATGTACTTTAAATTTATATTTTCCTTAGTTAAAATGGGAGTGAGCAATTGGTTTTTCATTTTTACTAAATATTGGCTTACATTGGTCTTATAGATTTAACAGTCTACAGTTTGGAAAACTAGATCTTTTGTTATGATAGTTGCAAATACTTTCCTAACTTTACTCTTTGTTTTTACTTTGCCTCTTACAATATTTTTAAGTAGAATTAATATAGGGAAAAATCAATACTAGAAATATAACATACTTTAAGACTGTTTGGTAAAATTCCAAAATGTAGTCCCTCACGTACAGTAAAAAATTCCTTTTAAGCTTAATCAACAGAGATGTTCTAACTTGGGAAAGAGGCTAACAAAGTCAGTAAGATAAGTAGCCAGACAGGAAACATCACCCAATTTGGATAAACAAGGGCTCATGAAGCTTCAGGGGATGGTGATCTAGTGGCCTCTGGAAAAAATGTAGCTATACTTTCCTGCTGATCATTTAGAGCCTGCATTCTGAGAGTATCAATTGCATCTTCTGACATTGTAAAAACCTGTTAATCTGACATTGTGAAAAACCGTTTTCTTGGATATTAACTTGCAGGGTCAGGACTGAACTCCCCCCTCCTCCCCCAACAGCTCAGTGGAAAAACCTGGCTGTTTTCCTTCTGCAAGCGCTTGCAGGAATAAACTTAGAATTTCTCGAATCAACTTGGTCTCTGTTTTTGGCTACCGTGACAGGCTCTCACAGACCCCTTGCAGTCCGAACAGAATTCATATTTTTATAGTTTCTAGTATGTCGTCAGCACCATAGGCTCTCCTTCCCCCCCACCACCACCAAGTTTTCCCATGAAGTTCACTAGCATTTTCATGGTGCATTTTATGAATTTAACTACTTTATCTAAACGCAATTTATTGTAAGGCATAATATATTGATGAACTTTTAAACTAGACAGCTAACCAATGATTCCAGAACTATTTGTTGGATAATCCCTTGTGAGTCCTCTGATATTAAACGATTACTTTGCCACCCCACCTTTGCCAAGGTAGTTTGGGTGATTTTGTGTTCATTCGGGCCGACAGCGACCCTGTGCACAACGGAACGAAACACTGCTCAATCCTGCGGCATCCTTACAAGTGTTCCTATGCCTGAGCCCACTGTTGCAGCCACTGTGTCAATCTATCTCCTTGCGAGCCTTTCTCTTTTCCGCGGCCCCTCCTCTATATCAAGCATGATGTCCTTCCCCAGGGACTGGTCGCTCCTAACAATACCAGCTTGTAAACTTCCAGAAGACCACACCAGTATGAAACAGCTCTTTTAGAGGGGTGCTTCGAATATGGTAGGCACTCAAATACTTGGATTTTAAAATGAAATACAAAATTCCTATTGCACAACTCCTGAAACGTGTACCATTGCCTTTTCGTACCACCTAACATGGGATCTCGGGTAAGCACTGGACTTCATCGCATTGGTACCAGGCTTTGCTAGTTATGTATCCTGGGGGGCTATCCTGCGCCTGTAAAAATGTCGACTCAGAAACCCTATACAGGGTCGCTATAATTCGCTTTCGATTCGGAATCGACTCGATGGCAGGTTTCGAACCTTCTATGGCGCATAGTCTATATACTCTGAGGACGGATAGCAAACCAAAGAAAACTGAAATGCGTCTTATATTCTATAAATCTACAAGCTATAATCTACAAAAAAGTAGTAGGCGCTGTTTCAAACAGGCCTTAGCTGGTGAGGAAAGAAAAAACCAGGGGTCCACGAATATGGCGTACAGTCCCCGGAACGGTTTGCCCGCACTGTGACTCAAATTGCACGAAACTGCAACTCACCCCACGCCGGAAGCGGATCCCAGGGTCACTTCCGGCTATTTCCGGCCCGCCCCCAGCTGCGCCAACCAAGCTGGCGCGTGCTCCGTGCGGATGTTTGTGCGCCGGCTACCGGTGCGCAACGACAAATCTGCTTCCGGCGCGGGGATGAGATTCCACAAGCGCCGGCCCTCATTGATGGCGTAATTTCCGGTTGCCTCGCTGAGTCGGAAGTGGGATCCCCTTCGGTCGGTGACAGTCGTACCGTCGCTGCTGGCCCTACAGGCTCTGGTAAGAAAGGGAATTGCTTGAGTGGGAAGAGATCGGAGGTCCGCAATGAGTCGCTGTTCCTGTTTCACTCCTATTCGAATGTCTGTCCAGGCCTCTGCACTGTACCGCCTCCAGATTCCTTCTGTGCCTTCCTGACCTGTGACCCTGCTTGCTTAAGGAACTTCGACCCTGTCTGATGTGAGACCCCGAATAGGGCCCCAGTTTCTGGTGTCTGTGTGCACATCCCCTTCCCCCTCTTTGCCAGGCCCCGCGTAGAAATGGCCGGAACCTTGGCCTTGCATTATCTTTGAACTTCCTTTCGCCGGACGGTGAGCCTTCCGGGTGGGCCTCCCTCCCTGTCCTGAATCCTTTATGGAACGTGTAGGGACCAAATATTGAACGTACACAGCAGATAACCAGAGTCCAAAGGAGATGAAATTAAGCACAAATCTGAATAATTTTTAAAAGGATATCAATATGGTTTCAAAACACAGAGAGTATCATCAGTGGCACTGGGTTATAAGTGTAAAATTTGTTGAATTGGAGAATGTCTTGTTGTGTGTATTTCTGCCACAATTAAAAAATAATGATTACACTAATAACCGTGATTACAAGGAATAAAAATATGTTTTAAAATTGATTGTGGTAATGATTGTACAGTTGATTTTGTAATGATTGGACTATTGAATTGTGTGATATGTGGAAGACGGGCCAGTAAAACTGTTTTTAAAGAAATACGCACAAATTTCAAAATAAGTAATCCATTTGAATACATATGGCAAGGTGTTGACATTTGTTTGTTTGTCTTACTAAATAATATTTTTATTGACATACCTTACTCCCTTCAATATATCCCTTCCCTTCCCATGCAGTCTGTTCAATCCCATCACTGATGATTGTATAGCCCCCCAGTCCCGATGGGATTGAACTTCTGATACCTCTTCCCAAAGGTGTTGCCATTTCTTACGGCAAGTGATCAAACCCAAAACACCCAGCAGGCTGCTTCATGGTCTTTTCGCAGTTGGATTTAGAAGGCACTTCTGAAATTGAGTAGGCAAAACCCAGAAACTGATGACTATTCCCCTTAAAACCAGTTTTTTCACTGCCAGAATAAGGATGGGTTTAGTCTAGCTGTCATGGGCTGTTTGGGAGCCCACCCCACCCCCCACCCCCGAGGTAAAATGCAACTCAAGAAGCTATAAGCTCAGTTTTTTACTGGACGAGTTCCATCTAGTTTGAGAAGATTGTTGGGTGGAACATATAACCGAAAACATGTTTTATTTCCATTTTATGTATATATCAACCCACTGGGAAAGAGACATTTATGGAGTATGATTTAATAGAGCTTGACTTTAACAAGTTTATTTTTTGTTTTTCTTTTAAATCTTGGTTTCAGTAAGTATTCCAAATATATCTGTATAAAAAATACATCAAGTCTGATGTTCAAACATTTGTATGTTCATCACTTTAAGAACTGCTAATAGCACTTGAAGGATTAGCAGTCCTATTCATTGGGAGCCTTTGTGGTGTATTGCATTGTGCATTGGGCTGCTAACTATGGTCAGCAGTTCGAATCCACCAGCCTCTTTTCTGGAGACAGATGAAGCTCCCTGCTCCCATAAAGAGTTACAGTCTCAGGACCCTACACGGGCAGTTTTACCCATTGCTAGAGGGTGGTTACGTGTTGTCATCGATTCAGGGACACCAAGTTTGGTTTTGATTGTGGAATACTACTATTCATGAACAAAAACTTGAATCTTGAGAGAGTGAGAGGATTTTTGTAGGACTGTAGATAGACAGCCATTGTAGATACAGATCTCTCTAATGAGTTTATTAGAAACTTGTTTTCAAGCTTCTCACAGTTGGTGATTTAGTGCCCTTCCATGGTCTGAATAAGATAACTCTATCTCTGTGTGACAGTTAAAATAGATGACAAATCCCTGGTGACTTTTTTTTAATTGATATTTCATTTCCTCAGATCTTCCTTTTGGAGGAAGTAGTGTTTCCGTGCCCTCCATTTGTAAGACCATTTACCAGATAGAAACTGGTAGCTCCACAAAGGTTCTTGTCCAGGGATCAGCCTTCCCATTTCCTGTTAAACACTTCTGTGAGCATTTGCTTATTTTCGCCATTTTACTGTGGAAATAGTTTGTGCATGGATTTGGAGTTCTTATGGAAAAGGTGGCCCTAAGGCAAAGGCTCATTTTATTCTTTGCAGCAAAGAAATTTGCTTCCTTTTTCTTATTCTACACATGCTGAAATCTCAGTGAACCACCATGCCTGGCTCTACATGGGCCTCCCACTGCAAGCAACTCAAAACCAGTAGTAAAGCCCATCCCTTGAAGGAGGATCCTGGTGTTGCTGTTAATTACAAGGAGATCCTGTAAGGCTGGATCCGTCAGTAAACGTTACTTATGATTTAATGGTGCTGACGTGTAGTGCCAGGCAGAGAGAAATGGAAAGAGCAATCGGATGTGGATGTGCACTCGGGAGCTTAGGGTCTTCACAAAGCAGATCTGCACTAGGAGTACAATGTAGAACCTTACTAATTCTACTTAAAGATGGAGATAAAATGTAGTGAAAGCTCACTTTATATCCCATGATAGTGTAGTACCGGCAACCCCCAGGTTGTGGACTTACAACTTATCGCCAACCCTCATATAAACTTCAGGTTACAATAACAAACAGGGCACTAATTTTTTATTATGTTAAAGATGTTTTCCTATATCTGGGAAGTGTTTCTTTAATGTTTTTGTGCTTAGAAAGAAAGGTACATTATATAGTAAGACCTCAGGGCATCAGGATTGGAAAGTTTGTTAACATCTGTTAATGTGCAGATGACACAGCTTGTTTGCTGTGAGGACTGAAAGCACTTACTGATGAAAATGAAAACTTGCAGAACAGATTAGAGCTCAATGTAAGGAAAACAACCATCACAACCGGACCAATAGACAGCATCATGATCAATGGAGAAAAGATTGAAATTGTAAAGGACTTCATTTTACTCGGATCCGCAGTCAACACGGAAGCAGCGGTCAAGATATCAAATGCATAGTACATTGTGCAAATCTGTTGCACAAGACTCTTGAAGAGAACTTAGGTACACCCGGCCCAAGCGTGGTATTTTTAGTTGCTTCATATTCATGTGACAGCTGGACAAACAGGATCGGTGCCTTTGAATGAAGGATATTAAAAGTACCAAGGACTGCTGGAAGGACAAACAAGGACGTGTTGGAGAAAGTGCATAAAGATATTCCTTCGAAGTGAAAGTGTCAAGACCCTCGCATATACTTTGGACATGCTATCAGGAAAGTCTAATCCCTGGAAAATAACATCAGACTTGGTAACATAGAGAGTCGTTGGGAAAAAAAATCCTGCATGAGATGGATTGACCCAGTGACCGCAGTGGAGGGTGATCCCAGCCCGGCAGGATTTCGTTCTGGCCTGCGAAGGGTTGCTATGAGTGGGATGACACCGGAAACAAGGCATGCACTTGATGACCTGACATTAGATGCAAATCGTATCTACCTATTTTACCTTAAACTTAGAGACACACTTTTAGGAACAGAACTTGTTTGTAATCAAGGAACTATCTATAGTGAGAAAGGAGCAAACAATGTCATGAAGATGATCCATTTTCTTTCTGCCTCTCTTGATAGTCTAAAGAGCCTTTCTATGTCAAATAATTTGTATTCCCACCCTTCATGTCTGCGTAGGTGGTACAGATGATTACTGCCTTTGTATTTACCTGAACTCTTTAAAGTTGCGTGTTTTTAAAACATTCAAACTTGGAGGCTTATTGGCTCTTATAACTGAACAGCCTCGAGGACTGTCCTTTTCCATCTCAGCTCTGTTTTTGTATCTGTTGGTTTAGTTTTAGGCCAGGCTTTCTCCAAATGCTGCAGAGATGGCAGGTTTATATCTTACTAGCCTGGCAACTCAAGCAGAAAAGCGTTTCTTTTGCTGTAAACTAAGCAAAGGCCTAGAGTAGGTGCTCATTTGGCTCTGATAGGCCTTGCGAAGGTCTTCCCACTTCTGAGTGGGTGGTATACTCCCCTGGGCCTGGTTAGAGCCAGAAACCCCTCCCTGGGGCTAGCAGATGAGATCAGCCTCTTCTAAACAAGTGGACAGTGGAGAGGCTCCCCAAAGGAAAAATGCGGGGTGTCATGGGGAAAAGGGGGGCGTTTTGATCATTTCGCATTCCTCTGGACTTCAGTGTTACAGGATGGGGGTGAACAGTCAATGAGGGAAGTCTTCATATCTCTACCTAAATTAGGGGTGATAGTTAAGCTTATGCAGTGGTTAGATAAGGGTTGTTGCTGATTCCAGTACTGAATGTGCTTTTGTTTTGGGTTCTTTGGGCATTGTGAAGCTCAACTAAAATAAGCAAAAAAGAAAATAGATAGGAGATCTCACAGCCTAATTCTTTGAAGCAGTGTAGTCCCATGCTGGGAGGAGACTAGGCAAGCTGCCTAAGTCATTCCACTTATTAGCCATTAGCTCTTAGGCAGAAAGCAATACAAAGGACCATGAAGCAGCTGGTGGCAGTGCCTCAGAATTGTTGAGAAAGGTGATCATCCCTCTTGCGCTGATCAATAAGAGTACCGATTCTGGCTCATCCTGGCTTTTGTTAACATGACTGTGAAGAAAGAAGCGTCCTTCAATACATAAAGGGCCACTGAGTGTTCTTTTGGGGGTCTCCTTCCATTCCAGCCACACCCTACTCTTCCAAAGAGCTCTGCCCTTGTTGCAGTTCCACGTCCCTTTACACACAATATCCATACCCGTGGCCTCTTCCCAGAATGTGGCCTTAACACTTCTGAGCGGGGAGAACACCTTTCAGGGAGCTCTGCTCACCTACTGTGCAAAGCCTGCTTGGTGTTCGAATGAGGAAGTGTAACCAGAGCACGGCCAATGCCGTTTCAGGCGGCCCCACAAGTACTTTTGAGGTATAACTTCTTCATGTTACACACTGGACCCGACAGTCAGGTTTAGTCTCTCTTCAGTGTCTTAAAAATGAAACTGTGAAAGTTAGAGACAGACTCAAGGAAAGATCACTTAGGTTTTAGTCTGAGAAATATCCATTTTCAGCCTAGTAGTAGAGATAGTTCGGTGTAGTTGAAGAACCCATAATCTAAAGCTCACCTGGCTCCTGTCCTAATTTGCCATTCTGAGTACAGGACAGAGGCTCAATTAGTTTCTGTGTAGCCGCGAGTTCCCAACTCTATCCCTGGGTCATCGAATTCCGAGCAAACGCTGCGTTGCCCTTCCCACGGTCAAGGAGAACGTTCGGCCAGCGTAGAGACTCAACGGTAAGCCAGTAGTTCTTGTTATGTTCATCCAAAAGTGAATTGTCTTCGTCTTCGTTCCTTCTCTGATTTTACCCTACTTTTTAAAAAAGCAGTAGTAATTAGAGATGGCACATGTATACAGTTACCTGTATTCCAGTTGAACATTTTTAGACTTTTTTTATTTAGATAACCCCCCACATTTTTTCCCCAGTTGGCAGGTTTGTGAACATTTTGCCAAAAGCTTCCCTGAGTCTTGAAACAGGGTTGGAAAATCTCCACCCCATCCCCACCCCACAACCCTTTTAAACGTAATGTCTTTGAGAGATGGGAAAGGAAGCAACTGGCCGTGTGACAGCTGTTGTGTTACCTGCCTTTCTGTGTCTAATGCCTGGCTTGTCTCTATCCCCTCCCCCTAGGTCTGGATGGAGGATACTTCAAAGTGAAATGACAGACCAGGAGAATAACAACAACATCTCAAGTAACCCCTTTGCTGCGCTTTTTGGCTCTCTGGCTGATGCCAAACAGTTTGCAGCAATCCAAAAAGAGCAGCTGAAGCAGCAGTCTGGTAAGTGGGGCAGCCAATCGCGGCTGATGAAATGACCTATATTGGTCAAGCTGTGCTTGTTTTAAATTGCCTGGTAAACACTATTTAAGTGAATCTACTTTTTAACATCAAAAATGGAGGTTTACACATGCACAGCAGGTGTGTGTCAAAGAAGGATTATCAAAAGTGTCTCACCTTGTAGACAAATAATGAGGTTTTGTTCCTAAGCGCAGTGCTGTAGAGATCTTCTCAAACAACATAGTTCCATCCCACCGACTGGCCTCCTTTGTGACTCACAGTCATTGGGACAAACTGCTACAAACATGTAATTCTTAGCCCTGGTGCCTAAAACAATTTACCAGTCAGAAAAATGCCTTTCTTAACATGGTACCAAATTTAAGATCAAGTCCAGCTTCCACATCAGAAGACATGTAGACTGGAAAGAAAGACTGTTTCTCAAACTGGAGCTGGTTTCAGATAGTTCTTGGAAAAGGGTGTATTTTCATTCCAGTTTTCCATGTGCTTTTGTAAGCCCCCGCGTGTTCATGTTATAAGGGTAGACGCAAGCTTTCAAACCAGACTTTCTTTTCTTCGCTTCCTTCCAAAAAGAATAAAGTGTGTGATTCTTTTGAACAGTAGGAGCTCTGGTGGGTAAGCACTGGGCTGCGAGCCACATGGTTGGCAGGTGGAGGGCCCCCTCAGTTCCACGAGAGAACGACGGCTTTCCACTCCCAGTGACAGTGGCAGCCTCAGAAACCAGAGGAGGTTGCTGTGAGTCTGCATGCACTTGATGGCCTTGAGTTTGGTTCCCTGGACTTTCTCTTGAGAAAAGGAGAAATGTTCACATTTTCCCTTTCTTCCATGTAGAGCAACCAAAAACACATGGCCAGATGCCTAGCCGAGCTGTGACCTTGATCTCTGATGAGGACTGAATAAAAGGGATAAAGCCAGGACAGATGAACAACAGACAGGATGATGGATGGAGCAAACAAGAAATAATTGAATCCAAGTGCTAACTTCTTACCCTGCTGGAAAGAAGCAGCTCTGGGTCTTTGGCTCTGAATTCACTGACAGATTTTTATGGTACAGGCTCAGACTTGAAACCCCGGATCAGGGGAGTGCAGGAGAGAAATGAGTGAGCAATAGGAAAGCCAAGGGGCTGGGACTGTGCAATTTCCAGGTATGTGGTTGGGGCAAATTTTGCCAGGCATTTTCTTAGCTCCTGTCACCCGGGGTATTTGGAGGAGAACTTGACAGTGGAGGATCAGAATGACAAGAGCACGCGGCCTCCTGGCTGTAACAGGCGTAAGGCTGGCTGGAGTTTCAAGCACTGCAGCCAACAAGCAGTGCGGACATAACAGCTCCGTGCCCTTCTGTTACTCTTTTGGCATCTGGTCATCTTAAGTTTGTTTGCACTGGTTTATTGTGCCACTAGCTCTAACCTGGTTTCCCCTAGCAGTGAGCACTGTGCCAGAACCTTTGGCTTTCCAAATGAAGCTCTACTTTTACTGAATTCACCACACCAAGGCAGCCTTTCCTTCTGCAAGTTTTACCTGCCTGAAAGACTAGCCCTGTCAGTAGAGAAAAGCACATACTGTCTCTTGTGTGGCTTTTAGCGAGTAAAACTACTCTTATTCAGCAGGAGTGCTGTTCAGAGAGGCTCTCTTCCATTGCTTTATGAAAAAAGGGGGTGGAGGAATTATAAGTATTCCCTCATCTGCTGTTAAAAAGTCAACTCACTGCCATCGAGTTAATGCCAACCCATGATGACCTTATAGGACAGGGTAGTTTCCAAGACTGTAACTCTGTTGGAGTAGAAATCCCTATCTTTCTCCTGTGGAGTGGCTAGTGGTTTTGAACTGACTGACCTTGCAGTTAGCAGCCCAATGTGTAACCACTACGCCACAAGGGTGCCTCTATATGCTGGGCGTGTACATTAGAATGCATACCTGGTGGTGCAGTGGGCTAAGCACTTGGCTGCTAGCCACAAGGTCAGTGGTTCAAGCCCACCAGCCAGTGTGACAGAGAAAGGAAAGGCTGACTGGTCCCATAAGGCTTTACCATCATGGAAACCCTAGGAAGCAGTTCTGCTTTGTCCCCAAGGTTTGCTGTGCATGGACACCGACTGAATGTCAGTAGGCTTGGGTTTCTGAGAGTAATTTAGTCATGTGTGTTAACTTTTAAATGCTCCTGCGCTTTAACCCGGCAATTCTGCTTCTATGAATTTCGTCTATCAAATTCATTCTATCACTACAGTGCCCATAAAGAGAGTAACTTATACTCAGTGCAGTAGTGTCCAGAAAAGGAGCCCTGGTCGGGCGCTGGTTAAGCACTTGATCCCAGCAGAGAAGGCTGTGACTGTCGGCTTCCTCGGTGGTTGTCATGCTCTGACCTCTGGGGGCAGCAGTTCAGACTCGCCTCAACAGCAACCGCCTGGGGTTCCCTTTTTCTAAAAGGTCCTCAAACAGTTCCTGGGAAAGATCCCTCTATCTTCATTCCATGATCCGCAAACTTCCTGGACTGGAAACCCCACCACTACCACCACCACCACCACCCGATTGTTCAGAATTATGAAAAAACTTGGAAATAACCCGAATGGTCATCAGTTGATAAATAGCCACAGAATCCCAGTGTGTACAAACAGTGCAGCTATGGAGACTGAGCGGGGCCTGTAAATGACCTGACAGGAAAAGGTGTTCATGCTGATGGTTAAAAAAACATGTTGGGAAGGCAGTGTTATAAGACACACACCCCCGCCCCTTTTTTTTACTCAAACTAAACTAAGAATCCCAGGAATAAGCATTAACAGAGGAATAGGAAAACATGGGATCACTGGCTAGAGTAAGCAGTTGTTAGTAAAGTGCTGGTTCACAGAAGACTGTGCACCGTGTTTTCTCATGTCATTTGCTGTAACAGCAGATGTGTCTTCTCGTAAAACCAGGGGAGAGCCTCATGTTTAAATAGAGTTGTGTTAATCTCTGGGAAATGTGGTCTTCACTGGATTCGGTCGGGAGGGGGACCCTGCTGATGTTGCTGGTAGAGTGTGAGCGAGCGAGCGAATTGTGAGTAGAAGTCCTTGAACGATGCGGTCAGATTGATGGGGCTTCAGAACCGTGCACTTAGAACTTTATTGTCTAGAGAGGTTCAGTAATTAGCCTATGTGGTTTTCGGTCATTCCATTTTCTCTTATAGAAAAGGGTGTGATTTTTAACGGCTTACATTTTCTGACAGATGAAACCCCAGCTAGCCCAGATGACTCAGATAACAGTGTGTCGGAGAGCCTGGATGAATTTGATTACTCGGTGGCTGAGATTAGCCGCTCGTTCCGCTCCCAGCAGGAAATATGCGAACAGCTCAACATCAATCACATGATCCAAAGGATCTTCCTCATCACTCTGGACAACAGTGAGTTACAGATGTGCAGTCGGGTTGTTTATTACTCTGCCTGTCCCTTGGCTTTCCTAAACCCATTGCTTCTAAGAGGCTAAACACAGAGTCCTCCCAGGTTCACAGGGCTTAGGGTCCAGTGAAGCTGTAGCACACCCCAAAGACGGATGTAGGCACCCTTCTAACACTCATTCCCATTCCCGTGACTGGCCCATATCACTACTTGCTTTGAGAACCTTAGAGAGAAATGGGCAGGGTAACCCCTTTTAGCTGGATTAAACAATTGAAGGAAGTCACAAGAGTTACCATACACTCTATGTGCCCTCACCTGCAGTTAATCCCCAGAGTTAGTACTGTTGTCTTATCACTGGGATTTGCTCTTGAATATCACCATGTTAGTTTTGTAACAAAGCTCATATTCTCTGACCCCCCCCCCAAAAAAAAGACTCAAATCTTTTGGTACTCTTTGTATGTAAGGATCATTTTGCATTGCCTGAGAATTTAAGAGTTTAAGAATAAAAGCAAAGCATTATGCTTAACCTACCAGATTAAAAACCATTTCCCAGGTGACCCAAGCTTAAAAAGTGGGAATGGCATCCCCAGCCGTTGTGTGTACTTGGAAGAAATGGCAGTAGACCTGGATGATCAAGACTGGCTTGATATGAACAACATTGAGCAGGTACCATTCTTTCTGTTCCTAACGTGTGCCCTCAGCAGAAGTTGGCCAGGCAGCCAAACTCTGCTCCCCTCACTCCAGCACTCCCTGTATTTACCTCCGTCTCACCCTCCGTCTCACACGCTGTAGTGTTTTCCTTTGGGAGTCTTCTCATCTACCATGGCCACATGCACCTGTTCTTAAGACCCAGTTAAAATGTCATCTTACTTATAAAGCCTTGTCCTGCAGAAATTGTGACTCCCTCCTCTGATTTCCTAATCTTTTGTGTCTTTTAATGGTAATTGTCACTTTCTATCATGTAGTGAATTTGTTCCACAGTCAAAACAGTGCTTTGCACCTTGTGGGCACCTGTTTAGCATTAAAGAAATAAAAGTGTGGTGGGGAAAACACTTGAAAACTTGCAAGTTAACTTTGCACCTTTAAATTATATTTGTACACATCAGGGTGACATCAGCAATCACCTACATGTAAGTTTAACCCCAGTTCTCAACAAATACTCCTTAAAGCCTGCTGTGTGCTTAGCTAGACAGCTAAGTCATGATACAGGATAGCAGTATGTATACAGGTAATTCTTATGCTCTGTGGGCGGAAATATCCCCTGAAATAAGGAGACACTGCCTCCTTTTCCACCCCCTTCATTCTGTATCAAGTGTGTAATTCTGACAGTACTTCATGTCCAGAGATTGCCTGTGAAGTGTAAAATTTCCCTTTACATTTTGATGTTCTCAGAATAATGCTTCAGTGGGGTTTTTTGGTCTGTTTTCCTTAATAGGCCCTCTTCTCTCGCTTATTACTTCAAGATCCAGGCAACCACTTGATTAACATGACTTCTTCTGCAACGGTGAATCTCTCTGCTGATCGAGATGCAGGGGAGAGGCACATTTTCTGTTACCTTTATTCCTGCTTCCAAAGAGCCAAGGAGGAGGTAAAGGAAAAATCCCCACTGAGTGTGATGCCGTCATCTGACCTTAGCACATAATCCAGAAAGTTGTGTTGGGGTCTTAGATCATAACTTTATATGCGGAATAGTATATATCTGGAACTGGATACCAGAAGCATTGTTAGTGTGGCTCCTGATGCTTTCGTCCCCCGGTTTTGCGGTGCACATCCTGTGGCGTTCACACCGCCAGTTAATCTGTACCTCTAGTCCAGCGGTTCTCAACCTGTGGGTCGCCTAAGACGCTCAGAAAACACCTATTTTCCATGGTCTTAGGGACCGAGACACCGCTCCTCTATCGTCTCCAGGTGGGTCCGCCCACATACGAGTACCCGACATGAAGATTGTTACCCATGCTACACCATGCTTCAAGACAAAATTTCACTTATTTGTAATTAGAAATAAAGATTTCACAATATATAATTACATATGGTTTTGTGATTAATTACTATGCTTTAATTATATTCAATTTGTAACAATGAAAATACATCCTGCAAATCAGACATTTATATTACGATTCATAGCAGTAGCAAAATGACAGTTATGAAGTAGCAATGAAAGTAATTTTATGGCTGGGGGTCACCACAACATGAGGAACTATACTAAAGGGTCGCAGCATGAGGAAGGTTGAGAACCACTGCGCTAGTCTCTCTTAAAGCGTTTCCACTGAGGTACACAACATAGATTAGGCGAAATACGATTGCTTCTTGGCTTGGAATTTGACCAGGTAGTGATTGTGTAAGCCAAAGAATGAACGTCATGAGTGTCCATGCATCCATAGGAGAGCAATACATTTGGGGTATAGAATGTCTCTTAAATTCTGTTGGCTATGTCCACTCATGTACAAGGTGGTGGAACTAGACTCTCCCCTCTATTCCTCATTCTGCTTCCAGATTACCAAAGTTCCAGAGAACCTGCTACCCTTCGCGGTACAGTGCAGGAATCTCACTGTGTCCAATACCCGAACCGTTCTCCTCACCCCCGAGATCTATGTTGACCAAAATATCCACGAGCAACTGGTAGATTTGCTGTTAGAAGCCATCCAAGGAGCCCGTGAGTACCTTGGGGAGCTCGGGATCGCACTGTAACGGCTCAGTCATGACTCCAAGGAAGACCGTCCATGTCATGGGTGGGGCTTCTACCAGAGAAAGCAGAACACTGTTACTTCCGATTAGGCTAGGTCTAACTAATTGGTACTAGAAAATGGGGATGTCAACAGTACAGTTACGGAAAGTATAAGAATAGAAAGCCAGTGTGCCCTTCGACCTCTCTTACCTCGCTTTGCCTTCTGGTAGATTTTGAAGATGTCACTGAGTTTCTGGAAGAGGTCATTGAAGCCTTGACAATGGACGAGGAGGTTCGAACATTTTCAGAAGTCATGATTCCAGTGTTTGATATTTTATTGGGTCGAATAAGAGACCTGGAGCTCTGTCAGACCCTGCTGTATGCCTATCTGGATATTCTTCTCTATTTCACCAGGCAAAAGGACATGGCAAAGGTGAGTCTGAAAAGTGGGGTTCAGGGATGCTGGAGATTTCATCCTTCATGCTTTCCTGTCCTGGGGGTGCTCTTTAGATATATATCCTAATGTAAACAGGTGCCATTAGTCATTGCACTGCTAGCCCCAAGTTCAATGATTCAAACCCACCAGCTACTCTTTGGGGGAAAGATGAGGCTGTGCTCCTGGAAAGATGGGCCCATCTCAGAAACCCTATATGAGGCCACTATGAGTTGGAGTCAACTCCGTGGTAGGGGGGTCTAGCCTGGTCTAATGTCCAGTTGCCTATAGGACTAGGGAAAGCCTGTTAGTTATCGTATAGACGTAACTGTGAGGCCCTCCTACCCTCATCAGCTTTATCTCCCGTACAGAAGAATAAGTTGAGCTTGTCTTCTCCTGCAGGTGTTTGTAGAGTACATTCAGCCCAAGGACCCCAGCAATGGACAGATGTACCAGAAGACCTTGCTGGGTGTTGTTCTGAGCATCTCCTGCTTGCTCAAGACTCCTGGTGTGGTGGAAAATCATGGCTACTTCCTGAGTCCATCCCGGTCCAGTCCCCAGGAGATCAAAGTACAGGAGGCCCACATCCATCAGGTGGAACTGTTTACTGGGATACTCGAGCCCCTGATCTTAGGTTAAGTGGAGTTTCTTCAGGAAGCAGATGCAGATGAGGCTACTTGAGCCTCTTTGGGAGAGCAAATTGATCTGATTGGCTTTCTCCCTTAATCATGTTAGTGAGCACTGGGAGTGGAGGATTAAAGCCAGCTTTGGGGGTAAGCTGCTGCTCCTCTTTGCCATGTGCTGGAGCACCACCACTTCCCCTCAACCCTGTTCTCCTCCTCCAGCTCTTTCTTAGAACCTTAGCTCTGAAAATCGTTTGGCTGACCCCCAGTCTGGAAGCCTCTAATGTGAGGGGTTTTCTTTCCCTCACTCCACGTATGCTTCTTAGCATAAGTTATTCTAGAGACCTGGCCAACACGGGCGGCCATAACTGATTAAATTGAGACTAGTGTAAGCTTCCCATTTTGCCATTTAATCAATAGCTCTCTAAACAGGGGTTGGCAAACTAGAGTTAATGATCAAATCTGAGCTGGTTTTGAAAGTAAAACTTTATTGAACACAGTCACACTCACGTTATATATATGTATATATATTTTGATGGCTTAATTTCATGCTACAACAGCAGAGTTCAATAGTCAGATACTTTGGAGACAGCTGAAAATATCTTATCTGGCCCTATGAAGAAAAAGTTTACTAACCCCTGCTCCAAAGCTGTGGAATTCCATCTGCAGTTTGATAGCTCATCAAGCAATCTCTCGTAATTGGCCAACAGCAGATTTTTTTTTTTTTTAAGGCAGAACTGGGGGATAAGGCTAAGGAAGAGTGAGGGGCATGATTAGGATGAGCATGCTTTTGGAAAGTGGCAGTTGCTGAAGTTTGGGTGTGAAAAATACTAGGATTGTGAAACTGGAATGTTCTGTGGTTGTGTTTTCTGGTTAAACAGTTCATGGCTCAGTTCCATGAAAAGATCTACCAGATGCTGAAGAACTTACTCCAGCTCTCTCCAGAAACCAAGCACTGTATCTTGTCCTGGCTTGGAAACTGTTTGCATGCAAATGCAGGCCGCACCAAGATCTGGGCCAACCAGATGCCAGAAATCTTCTTGCAAATGTATGCCTCGGATGCCTTCTTTCTGAATCTGGGTGCTGCTCTTCTGAAGCTATGCCAGCCATTTTGCAAACCCAGATCCTCTCGGCTCCTCACCTTTAATCCCACTTACTGTGCTCTGAAGGAGTTGAATGATGAAGAACGAAAAATTAAAAATGTACACATGAGAGGTAGGGGGAACTGGACTTCCTAAAATTGTGTGTGTGTGTGTGTGTGTGTGTGTGTGTGTGTGTGTGTGTGTTATCTAAGACATTCAGTCCTTTTTCACAAAGGTACCTCTTTGTCTCAAAAAAGATGAGGCAGAGAGAAGAGCTATCTTAAAAGGGCAGGTTTAGGGGTCGGGGGAGTAGTGGATGTTGTACTTTAGTGAAACCTTTGCACTGGATTTTAGCAGCTCTTGGGTTCTCACGCATTCAGTCTTTATACAAAGGAATAAACCCCAGTCCCTGTCCTTTGCAATCCAGAGGGCCCCGAGAGAACGCAGCCTAATTAACAGACAACCATAACATGGTACGGAGAGAGCATGGGGAGGAGGTGGGGGTGAATAAGCATAAGCAATTCTGCAGAAGTGAGAGGTTATTGAAATCCTCACACTGATCTCTGAATCGAGAGTTGCGTTTTACCAGGCAAAGAAGTGAAAGAACCCTTTTCCATGAGGGGCTGACAGCTACAAAGTGCAAAGCTATGGAAAAGCTGAACGGGGGAAGGGACAACTCGCCGTGGCTAGATCAAGGGGACAGGTGAAGTGGGTGGGGTGTGGAAATTTGTTTGGAGGGGAGGCAAGTTAGAGAACCGTTGAAAGACAGAAGTATAAAGAAGAAAATAAAGGTCACTTGTAATCCCACCACTCAAATTAAGTCACCCTTAATTTGCATTCTAGTTTTTTTGTTTGGCTTTTAACTCTAATTATAAAACTGATATTTGCTCGACAGCAAATCTCAGATCCACAAAAACACAGGCTAGATACAAACGATGCATCATCTGTCCCTTGGAAAAATCCTTTTTTGGGTAATTTAGAAATTTTGGTAATTGCGTGATCCAAGGAAAGAGATAGGAGGTCACGGCAGAAATGACGTGGCAGGATTTGCATTTAAGGGCGTACTGGGACTTTGGAAGGTGAGCAAGACAGACGTCTTTGGCGCCTGTCCAACCAGCGCGTGCTGTCCTTAACTTCTTTGAGGGCTGGACAAAGAAACCTGCTTGATCCCAGCTACGCAGGAGCCGAAGTTTCCCCAGAGCTACAACCTTGTGACGGAGAACCTCGTCCTGACAGAGTACACCTTGTCCTTGGGATTTCACAGGTAACTCCGCGCATGTCATTAGCAAAGCATTCTTTCATTGTGTTGATAACCTGAGGTTGACAGTGAGGCTTAAAGATACATTTTCACTGTATTCTAAAGGCTTACATTTGCATCAAGTAAAAGAGGCCTTAGGAGTAGATGTAACTTTTTGTGTTTACACAAATCAGCTTTGTACAGATGGAGAATTTGTTTCCTGCTTTTTTTAAGTCATTTTTTTTTCTTTTTAAATCATTTTATTGGGGGCTTATACAACTCTTACCACAATCCATCCATACATCCATTGTGTCAAGCACATTTGTACATTTGTTGCCATCATCATTCTCAAAACGTTTTTCTTTCTACTTGAGCCCTTGGTATCAGCTCCTCATTTTCCCCTCCCTCCCCACCCCCCTCCATCACAAGCCCTTGATAGTTTATAAATTATTATTATTTTGTCATGGCTTACACTGTCTGACATCTCCCTTTACCCACTGTTGTCCGTCCCCCAGGGAGGAGGTCACATATAGATCCTTGTGATCGGTTCCTCGTTTCTACCCCACCTTCCCCCCGCCCTCCCCACTCTCACCACTGGTCCTGAAGGGATCATCTGTCCTGGATTCCCTGTGTTTCCAGTTCCTATCTGTACCAGTGTACATCCTCTGGTCTAGCCAGATTTGTAAGGTAGAATTGGAATCATGACAGTGGGGGCAGGAAGCATTTAAGAACTAGAGGAAAGTTGTATGTTTCATCATTGCTACCCTGTACCCTGACTGGCTCGTCTCCTCCCCGCGACCCTTCTGTAAGGGGGTGTCCATTGCCTACAGATGGGCTTTGGGTCCCAAGTCCGCACTCCCCCTCATTCACAATGGTAATATTTTTTTGTTATTTGATGCCTGATACCTGATCCCTTCGACACCTCATGATCACACAGGCTGGTGTGCTTCTTCCATGTGGGCTTTGTTGCTTTTGAGCTCGATGGCCACTTGTTTATCTTCAAGCCTTTAAACCCCCAGACGCCATATCTTTTAATAGCCGGGCACCTTCAGGTTTCTTCACCACATTTGCTTATGAACCTGCTTTGTCTTCAGCGATTGTGTCAGGAAGGTGAGCATCGTGGAATGCCAGTTTAATAGAACAAAGTATTCTTGCATTGAGGGAGTACTTGAGTGGAGGCCCAATGTCCATCTGCTACCTTAATACTAAACCTATAAATATATGCACATAGATCTATTTCCCTTTGCCTCCTAGTTCTTTCCTCTATTTTCTTTTACTTTCCTCTTGTCCCACTATCATGCTCAGCCTTCATTTGGGTTTCAGTAATTCTTCTCGGTTACATTGCCCTTGATCAAGCCCTACCAGGCCTCATACACCCTCCTGGCCATTGATTTTGCATCACTTGTTGTTCCCTTGTCCTTTGAGTTGTTAGCATCACTTCCTTTCCCCCGCCTTCCCCTCTCCCATGTGTCCCCGGAACCGTTGGCCCCGATGTTTTCTCCTCCAGATTGTTTATCCCGCCTATCTTATCTAAATAGACCTGCAGAGATAATAATATGCCTAAAAACAAGACAGAGCAAAACAAAGCAACAACAAACCAATGACAAAAAAAAAAGAAAAGGCTGTAAATAGCTCAAGATCTGTTTGTTGACCTTTAGGAGTGTTTTCCAGTCGAGTCTAATGGGGTGCCACGTCCTGGTCCCATTCTATTTTTGGTATTCCCTGGGGACTTTCTTGTTCTGTTCCCCTTGCTGTTCAGTTGCACGCCTTTAGAGTTTTGCCTCGGTTTGGTAGGGTCAGATCGGGTGCAGTTTCCACACTGCGTCTCCACTGTTGTCTATGGGTCAGTGAGGGATGTCATGTCTCATAGTGGGGCCAGCCCTATGGTCCTCTCTGTGCATTGGCTGCTCTGAATGGGAATATCGTCCTCAAGGCTTGGTGGGCCAGGATGTACTCCACTCTCTCTTCCTTCCCCTGCATTTGCTCCCTTGTGCATTGATCAGACATGTCCCTCTCCCTGAGCTGCTGCTTCAGTGCTGTCCTCTGAAGTAAATTTTTCTGGGGGGAAGGAGGGCTATCCACATAGTTGGCATTTGGGCCAGCCCCTCAAACCTCTATATTGGTTCCCTGTTGCCCACTTTTGACTTGTTGATTTTTTTTTTAAAGATATGCTAGTATTTTCCCTTACAATCATACTTTAAAAAAATAACTATCTGTTCTCATCTGAGAGAGTAGAATTGCTTTAATTTTATATTTACTTTCTGCTCTTGAATTATCATGACTTAACTATTCCTGATTAAAAAAAGGACAAAGCTCTAATTCTACAGGATGGGAGGCATAATTGGAAAAATTAAGAAAATGTTTATAAGGGATTCAAATGAGACCAGTTAGCCCCACAGAAAAATCTGTGTGCTTAAAGTCAAGATGATTCTAACTGTGTGAAGATTTGAGGGGGGCGTGGAGCGCACGCACACACATTGCCCTAGTGTTGTGTGGAACTACTCTGCCAGGCTCCCTGCCTGCTGGCCGTGTAGTTTGTCCTACTATAAACAGCCCGGTCTGCACCTGTTCACGCCGGCTGCTGCTCTTTGGATGGTGTGTGTCAACTGAAGATGCTAAGGCCCCACTTACGTTGAGTGCTTGATGACATTTTGCTGGCCTCACGCCCCTGCTTTTGGGTCACAGTTAACGAACTGCCCACACCCTGAAAGAGAAATCTGAAACAAATAAATGCGCCAGGTTGGTTTTTCTGGAATGGTCCGTTCTCAACGGCCCCTACATGAGCCTCCCTGACTCCATCTCTTTTGTTTTCTTGGAGGCAGGCTGCATGACCAGATGGTAAAAATCAACCAAAATCTGCATCGGCTACAGGTTGCCTGGCGGGACGCTCAGCAGAGTTCGAGCCCTGCCGCTGACAACCTCCGTGAGCAGTTTGAACGATTGATGACCATTTATCTTTCCACCAAGACGGCCATGACTGAGCCGCAGATGTTACAAAACTGCCTGAACTTGCAGGTGTCCATGGCTGTCCTTCTGGTCCAGCTGGCCATAGGCAACGGAGGCTCACAGCCAATGGAGCTAACGTTTCCTTTGCCAGATGGCTACAGCAATTTGGCTTATGTGCCAGGTAAGCAGGCTGTCCCCTGGGAACCTTCAGTGGATAGCCATCTAAGTTTAATAGGGTCCCTTAGGAAGTTGAATCGTCAAAATGCCCTTCCATAGTTCTCATTCTAAGAAGCTCTGGGGGCGAGTGACTTAAGCATTGGGCTGCTAACCACAAGGTCAACAGTTCAAATCCTCCAGCCGCTCCATCAGAGACAGATGACACTTTCTGCTCCCATGAAGAGTTACAGCCTCAGAAACCCACAGGGGCAGTTCTACTCTGTCCTGTAGGAGTGCAGTGAGTTTGGTTTCTTTTTGAGTTCGCATTTGAGATGTTTTTGGAGAAACATCTCAAACTGGGAGATGCTAACTCTTGGTGAAGTCTGGCCATCCCTCAGCTGGTCCTCAGTCCCATGTAGATCACAGTGGTCTCCAGGGCATTAGGGGCGGTTGGGGTTTTCAGGGCTATTGGTTCCTACCACTGTTTGTTATTCCACTTCGGAATGTATCTGTCCCTTCCCCTGTTTCTCTTTAGAAAAGGGATCATCAGCTGTTGGTGAACCCGGAAGGGAGAGAGAGATTGTGTGTGTTCTTGATCGCGATGTTGGTCATGTATTGCTGGGTAACACATTTCCCCTAAAACATAGCAGACTACAGCAACTAATAGTTATTCCTTCTCCCACAGTTTCTGTGGGCAGCTTGGCTGTGTAGTCTCTCATGAGTTGAGTTACGGTTAAGCTGTCAGCGAGGGCTGTGAGCATCTGAAAAGTCAAGTGCAGAGGAAGGCTCCTTGTATCCCTCACCTTGTGCTATATGGCAGGCGGCAGCTCCATGCTGGCTATGGGTCAGGATCCTCTTTTTAGGCCATATGGCCCTTTCTGTAATACTGTTCACTGCATGGCATCCGGCTCCTGCCTAGAGCAGTTATCAACGTGGCATCTACAAGTTTTCATAACCAAATCTCAGCAGTGACCTCCCATCGTTGCTGCTGTGTGCATCAAGGAGTGTCTTCTGGCTAAGGACAGTATAGGAGAGGATTACACAAAGGTCAATCCACAGGGATAGGACCATCGCTGCATCCTAGAGGATAGCTGCCAGAGTCCACTAATGTGTCCCTATTAGAAATTCTTCTTACATCTAAAGGGTTCCTTAAACCACACTATCCCTGTGAGGGGAAAGTATACATCTTTAGACTTGGTGAATACTGCACTTGTATGCTAATGGTATCTTGTGTCTTTATTGTTCCTCGATTTGATACAAATAAAAGTTAGCATTGAAAGGAGCGCCTACGTTTAACTCACCACTGTTCCTAGTCCCTGTGAGACTTTGTTTGGAGCCATCGTTCAGTGGGCTGAGAGGGAGGAATTGAAATGGTACTTAGTTCAGTTCATTCCAGTGAGCCTTTTCTCTTTCAGAATTTTTTGCAGATAACCTGGGTGACTTCCTCATTTTTCTGCGCCGCTTTGCCGATGACATCTTAGAGACATCCGCAGGCTCCCTGGAACATGTTCTTCACTTTGTTACCATTTTCACCGGCAGCATAGAAAGGTGAAGTGCTGACAGCTTGGCTCTGTCATTGTTTAGAGCTGTAAACACGCAGAAGACTTCTAAACCAGGAGATAAACAAGCCTGAATCATAAGGGGTTGCCTTCAGAAGTTGTGTTAACATTAATGAATCACCTGACCATCCTTATGGGTAGCCAGCAATCCCACTCTTGAGAGGCATAATAAGCAAAGGACTTTGCCCACAGAGAATTTGAACCTGCATATAAGGTACCTGCTGGGAATTCTGCTAGTACCTGGTTAAAATAGTTACCTGACACCTTACTGGCTGCAGTAAGTCCTAATGACCTAATAACAACAACCCAAAAAAAGCTTGCTTTTGCTACTCTGAGTCAGAGTATGAGTGAGCAGAGTCTCGCTCAGAGCTTCTAACCCTCTTTCCCAAAGGAAGGTTTTCACTGTGTGTGACTGTAGAACTGCTTCTCTAGATTTCTGGGGCCCCGGCTCCAGGCTCCCTGATGGTGATGTTGGGTAAGCATTGGATCCAAGGTTGGCCATTCAAACTCAGCTGCCCTGAGAGAGAAAGATAGGGCCCTCTGCTCCCATGAAGACGTACAGTCTCAGGAACACACTGCATCGATACAGATAGGGTCACTGAGTCGGAATCAATTCCACAGCAGTGGGTTTGGTTTTCTGCTTGTTTTAGACCAGCAGTTCTCAACCTGGGGGTCGTGACCCCTTTAGGGGTCGAACGACCCTTTCACAGGGGTCGCCCAGTTCTTAACAGTAGCAAAATTACAGTTATGAAGTAGCAACGAAAATAATTTTATGGTTGGGGGTCACCACAACATGAGGAACTATATTAAAGGTTCACAGCTTTAGGAAGGTTGAGAGCCACTGGTTTAGACTTTAGGAAACAGAAGATTCACTGCACCAAAAATATATTTATCCCAAAACCATGTCAGCAAGAATTAGATCAAAGCCAATCCTAAACTAAGCTGAGCAGGCATTCACCCCGTAGTTACATACCAACCCCCATGACACTTACCAGAGATCCAAGGCACATACAATGGTTCGTAACAACAGACGGACTGACGTGAGAATCATCAGAACCTTATTGTTCTTGCTGTATAATACTTTTATTTATTTATTTATTTTATTTCCGCCCACCCCCTCCAGTCCGCTGTATAATACTTTAAAGCCATTTTAGGATGTCTGGAGATTTTTTCAATGTTTTTATGCAAGAAAGGCCCACTATGTACTAAAGCCAAACATTTGACTGACAAACATTGGATAGGAATCATACCTAGCTGTTGGATTATGTTCAAATTTGACTTAAAGACAGCCTTAGGAATGCTGCTCACTCATAATCCGGGACTGCCTGTATTTACGAAGTATGCATGGTGTGCATTATGGGTAATAAAGAGTATTTTAGTGCTTACCCTCAGGGAGCTGAGGAAGGCAAGTTTAACCCAGAGGAAACTGTCCGAGAATCACAGCAGTAAACAGTGCATTGTTAAAGAGAAGTGAACAGAGTGGCTAAGCACTAAATGGGAACATTATTCCTTATTCTCAGTAAGCTGTCTTCTCAAGAATTAAGTGGTCTACTGTGCATTATCCTCCAGAAACTGGCAAAATTTAAACGTCTCTTCCCCCGTCATGATGGGGTCCGAAGTTTTTACTCCTTAGGTAGAAAGAGCAGCATTAATACGGTGGGGGCTTACGTGTTTGTCTATTCATCCTGCCTTCTGCGTTCTTTGCAGAATGAAGAATCCTCATCTACGGGCCAAACTTGCTGAGGTGTTGGAAGCAGTGATGCCCCACCTGGATCAGACCCCAAATCCTTTGGTATCCAGTGTATTTCACCGCAAACGTGTGTTCTGCAATTTTCCACATGCGCCCCAACTTGCAGAAGCACTCATTAAGGTCTTTGTAGACATTGAGTTTACAGGTAAAGTTTACAGTCATGATGTCCATATTCGGAACTAGGAAACATACCAGAGTTCTTTGAATGTTCGAAAAATAGCACCAGCCATCGTTTATTAAATGCCATGAGCACAATTAAGGGCTCTGGATTTCCCATTCTTCAAAGGCAGCTCAAGAAGACAGAGTGAAGTGCTACAATGAAACGTACAAAGACCTGAAGGTAGAAAGCCAAAAGGAGAGAACGTACTTTGCAGCTCCAAGGAGACAGAGCTGAAGAAAACATACAAGCCACAAGTTGTGCAATATTGAAGGATTCTGTGAGCAAAATACTGAACCATACAGGAGCATCAGAAGATAAGAGGAGTAAACAGAGCCACTGTAACAAAGATAAATGGTCAGTGCTTCACCTGAGGGGCGAGGGAGCGTGGGATCAGGAACTGATGGCATTGAAGGAAGATGTCCAAGCAGCAGTGCAACGTTGATGAGAAGCCTGGCTCCACGAAGTGACGGTACCAGCGCCATGTTTCAGCGAACAGATGCACACGGGAGGGCCTCACTCATCTATGCCAAGGGTTTGGAAGACAGCTACCTACACATCTGACTGGAAGAGATCCATATTCATGCTTGACCCCAAAGTGATCTAATAGAATGCAGAAGTTATCAAACAATATCTTTCATATCACGTGCCAGTACAATTTTACTAACAATAATTCAAAAACAGTTGCAGCAGCATGGCAACAGGAAGTGTCCAAAATCCAAGCCGGACTCAAAAGAGGGCAGTGAGTGAAGGATATCATTGCTGCCATTAGAGGGATCTTGACTTAAAGCAGAATTCCAGCACGATGTTTACCTGTGTGACGTAGGCATTCTGCTGGATCCCATGGATGGTAACAAAACTATGGGTAACATTGTGAAGAATGGGAAATCCAGAACACTTCATGGTGCCATATAGAACCAATACATGGAACAAGAAGCTGTCGTTCAAAACACAAGGGGATGGCACATGGTCTGAAGTCAGTGAGGTTGTGCATCAGTGCTGTGTCCCTGTACCATGCTCATGCAGTCTGCTTGCTGAGCAAAAAATGACTATCTTGAGCTTGGTGCTCTTTATAAAACTATCTCTGGAGACAGACTGACAACCACATCTCAAAAGATGAGGTAGGAGCATTACAGGGCACTGAATGTATGTTCATGGAGGAGGAACCACTCGGCACATGAGAGAATGTGCAAATGGGAAAATGGAACCAGTGTCACTTACATGGGGGCGGGAGAGGAGCGACGATTGGGTTAGTATATGTTTTGCCATGTATATGCTCAACCAGGAAAACAGGATGAATAATTTTTTAAGTAATTGACATAGGCACACAAAAAGAATCAGGTAGAGGCACAGTTGGCATGTGGGCTGTGAAGAATGTGGAGATTACTCAGTGTCCCATCCTGTCCATGTGACAGCAGCTGTCTGAATGGGCCGCTCCGGCCTCGTTCAAAGTCTGGTGAGCATTGTGCCTCTGGATGTCTAAGAATACCACTTCTGTTGATTGTTTTGTTTTTCTCCTGTTTGATGGTAGGAGACCCTCATCAATTTGAGCAGAAGTTTAATTACCGCCGTCCCATGTACCCCATCCTCAGGTACATGTGGGGCACAGAGACCTATCGGGAGAGTATCAAGGTAAGAGAGATTTGGGCAAAACCAGTTTCTTTAAGCTAGTCCCCGTGAGTTGTGCAAACTAAATGGTTTCCCCTGTGGTGTGACCAACAGGATTTGGCTGACTATGCCTCTAAGAACTTAGAAGCCATGAATCCACCACTCTTCCTCCGCTTCCTTAACCTGCTGATGAATGATGCTATCTTCCTTTTGGATGAAGCTATACAGGTAAAACAACAACAGCAGCAACAGATTTAACTGTTCCCGTACAATCAAAGTATCATACTTCAAGTCCAAATAGACCCATCTACTCCTACTAGTCTTTAACACCAGCAGTTGCGAGTGGTCATGGACCGCTCAACTTGGCCAGGAGAGAGCTTTCATCTCGGGCCGCACTGCAGCCTCATGGTCGGGATGGATCTTTGTACACAGAATTGGAAAGTGTGATGACACCCAACCAAAATGTAAGACAGAATTCAGGGTCTGGCTTTTAGCAGTGACTTTTGCCCTTTTCCCAGATTAATTTGTGCACCTCTCCCCTTTAAGAAATTCCTGGGCGGTTATTGTTCCATATAAAGATTCCAAGTTAGCATTATTAATTGACACCACCTCCTGAATCCTTAGCTACATTATAAAGCATGGGTTTCCCAAAGTATAAACTTGGCTCTTTGAGCAAATCATTAACTAACCTCTCCCCATGAGAGTGATCTGGAAGGAAACTGAATCAGATAAATGAATCATGACAGTAGCCTGTTCCACAGCCATGCGGCTCTCAGTAGCTTATATGTCATCTGTGAGAAGGTTTGTTCTCAGACTTCCTTTCACAGGCTTATAGTGTAAAGTGTAAGATAGGTTTTCTTGGATCCGTGTGACACAAACAGTGAAGCAGATGGTGTTTTCACGGGGTTATAGATGTAGCACGTTGCTTGCTGCCACAGCAAGAATGCTTGGGGGGTGGGGTTGAGTAATGGTTTGCCTTCCACACATCGTGTACATTGGATAGAATTTGTATTTTTGCCTTGTGTGTGTATCTTTCAAGGACTCATCCTTTCTTCATAGTAGCCTGTTGGTTGGTTTTGCCCAGTGTCACAGATTGGACTTTTTCACTTCCTTTCGAGGTCATAGACTTCACTCTTTGTCGGGGACTTCCCGGTGACTCTACCTGGGCTGAAACGAAGCTGTATGCCGCTGCCATTTCTTTGTAAGCTCCAATCAGCCTGGGCTTGAGGAGTAGAGGCCCGAGCCTCTTGTATGCTCTCTGGGTTTCCCAGCATCGTTGGCTGGTCTTTGAGTAGAACCTTTTAATGGCACCTTCCTTCAACTGCACTTTGTTCTTTGACCTCTTGCAACTCTGGTTTCTATAGTATTTGAGCAAGATAAAGATTCAGCAGATTGAGAAGGACCGAGGTGAATGGGATAGTCTAACTCCGGAAGCCCGCCGAGAGAAGGAGGCTGGCTTACAGATGTTTGGACAGCTGGCCCGTTTCCATAACATCATGTCCAATGAAACCATTGGTACCCTTGCCTTTCTGACATCAGGTAAGGACATGAAGCATCACCGTCCAACAAATGTGATGGTCACAATTTGCTTCACTGGAGGGATCTTCCCAGCGGAAATTTAAAAATGCCAACAAGGGTCACCAGGTGTTTGAGGAAGTCCTCTAACAGGACACACAGATGAGAGATGAAAACTACTTTTTAACTATATAATGTTTTCTCTATATTGCTTGACTTATAGTAATCAAGAAAAGATAGAACACCCACAAGACTAAAACAGAGCAACAGTGAAAAGGAGTTTCAGAGAACAAGAGAAGGCTCTTGGGGGTTGAAACTATACCTGGAGGTTGGAGAGTAAATGCAGGGAGGTCTCCATGAGAGCAGATTAGAAGAGATGGTGAAACAGAGCGTCAATCTGGGGAGTCTCCAAAGGAAAAGATGGAGGGGAGGAAATATTAAATAAATCATACAGAAATGCCCAAAACTAAAAACTCAGAAAATATCACTCCCATCAAGTCAGTCCCTACTCATAATGACCCGGTAGGATAGGGTAAAACTGCCCCTGTGGGTTCCAAGACAGTAACTCTTGACCTGAGTAGAAAGCACATCTTGCTCCCAAGGCACAGCTAGCTGGTGGTTTCAAACTGCTGGCCGTGGGGCTAGCAGCTCAGCACATACTCATTATGCACCCCCCCCACCCCCACCCCCACCCCCACCCCCCTCCTTGAAAACTAAAAGACAGCCTCAGAGTGGAAAGGGACAGTGCCAGACATCGTGAAACAAACACACCACCACCAGGTACATATTGTGAAATTTCAGAAAATCCAGCTAAAACAAATAGTTTTAAAACTCCCAGGTTATATACATTGGTTTAAGTACCAAAATGACTTTGAACTTTTCTCAACAGTAACATTTGAAACTGGAAAGCAATGCAACATGTCTAAAGAATTTTCTGTCTAGAATCCTATAACCAGCCAAGCTATCCATTCCGATTGAGGTAAAGACATTGTCTAACATGACAATATCGGATTTACTTCCAATGCACCTTTCTTGAGAAGCTACAAAGGAAGATACTCCAGAATGAAAAAGCGAACCAAGAAGGGGCTAGGGAAGATCCATCTCAAAGAAAACTCCCCAGACGACGGTCTAGGGAACTTGTGGTGCAGCCCCCTGAGGGGACAGTGAAGGACGCAGGTGAACCTTGGCGGAAAACAGAACAGATAGAGTTTTGTCATTGCAGTGGAGAGTCTGACAAGGATTTAGCCTTTGGGACTTTTAAATAAGCAGATGTTTTTGTAAGTGCTCCAAAAAGTATTGTGTAGCTAGTAGAATACTATGTGGTGCTGCTTTGAATGATAATTACATTGTCTTAGTGATATGAACTCAGTTAGTTAGCCAACATTTCTACTAAATTGTTGTTTGTTTGTTTGTTTGTTTTTTAATTCAGCCTCATTGACCTAACATTTTCTTAAGAATTTGTGTAGGGAAGTAATCTAGCAAGTGTACAAAAATGTATACACAAGAAAAGTACATCAGTAAGTAAAATGAGTATAATAGCAAGCATTTTTTGTTAGTTTGTTTTTAAATCATTTTATTAGGGGCTCATACAACTCTTATCACAATCCGTACATACATCGATTGTGTAAAGCACATTTGTACATTCATTGCCCTTGTCATTCTCAAAGCATTTGCTCTCCACCTAAAATAGCAAACATTTTTAAACAACCAAAATATCCACCAGTAAAGATGGATTAAGTAAATAGTGTATGCTTCAACCGTAAACTGGAAATGTATGTGGCAATTCAGAAACTTATAGGAAGAAAAAATGAGAATGTTATAGAACTCTTTGTGGAGGTGGAAATGTTCTTCTGTCTGAACTATGTAGTAGTACCCTAGATACCAAAACCAAATTCACTGCCATCGAGTCGGTGCTGCGTTATGGCCACTCCTATGGGTTTCAGAGACTCGATAACTGTTCACAGCAATAGAAAGCCCAGTCTCTCTCCCGTGGTGCTGCTGGTGGTTTCGAACTGCCGACAGTGCGTATCACAGCCCAACACGTAGCCCCTGCACCACCAAGACCCTTCTGATTTGAATAGTAGCTATTAAAAACCTGAAGTGTGGCTAGTATAACTGAAGAACTGGATTCGTTTTGTTTTCATTAATTTGAATTTAGCATATTTCCAATGGCTACTGTGTGTTGAGCTGCACATATTTACTAAAATGCCAAGAGATTTATTATTCAGCTAATGAAAAAAGATATGTACCATGTATTTGTTACATCTTAAAATATATATATATAAATATGGCAGGAAAATGTGAATGTTTATCTCTGGGGAGTAGATTTGACTTCTTTCTGCTTATCTATATTTTCAAATATTACTGCAGTGAAGTTTTCTACGTCATTAAAAAAGATTAGCCCCCAGAGGTGTTCCAGTCCAACTCTCAGGTAGAGTAAGTAAGGTGCTGAGCTGTCAGAGCCTCTGCCCTCTCTTCCAGAAATCAAATCACTCTTCGTGCACCCCTTCCTGGCGGAGCGCATCATCTCCATGCTGAACTACTTCCTGCAGCACCTGGTGGGTCCCAAGATGGGGGCTTTGAAAGTCAAGGACTTCAGTGAGTTTGACTTCAAGCCCCAGCAGCTCGTTTCAGATATCTGCACTATCTACCTGAACCTTGGGTACGTAGAATTAGAATTGGGCGGTCAGAGGGAGGGAGTACGAATGCTTTAATGGGGGGTGCTGGTAGTGGAATGATGACTACTTGGTAGTTTAAAAGAAATAGAGGGGGTAATGGTCCATTTCTAATTGGTTATTGGAGGAATCTTTAGTTTTAAAAGAATGAGATTTGTGTGACCTTGATTATACATTATTTAGACTTTTAAACGGTCTGCCTTGGTCTGTGCAAAGGCAAACTTTATTAGCTGTACCACTGTTTGGAAAAGTCGTAGTTTAAAGCCACAAGATATTTGCCAGGCCTCCTTCCTAGAACGTGAGACGTCTTTCTATATCTAAAGAACATCGGTGGCTTACAAGTAATGGTGAACCTTGCTCTACAGTCAGTTTGCTGTCCTCCCATTTAACCGACCTCTGCTACAGTTTCTTTCTTGCTGACTTCCAGGGATGAGGAGAATTTCTGTGCCACTGTGCCCAAGGATGGCCGTTCCTATTCCCCCACGCTCTTTGCACAGACAGTCCGAGTCCTGAAGAAAATAAATAAGCCTGGAAATATGATTGTGGCTTTCAGCAGTTTGGCCGAGAGAATCAAGGTGAGGGAGAAGAAAATTTTGTTTGCTTGCATGTGAAATACATATCACATTGTCAACTCATGATGCTGCCTTTCTTTTTCAAGCCT